AGTTATCTGCTCATCAGGACAAGTTATTCATATGTAATACATGCTGTAACTTCTTTCAGATTGAAAAAAGCTTCCAAAAGATTGACTACATACACTGACTCAATGTTTTGGTGTGATCTCATCAACTCAACTGCATGTAACACACTTTCTGTTACTAAGACATAGCTTCAACAATATTGCCTGAGCAGCTACAGAATTATATGTAGTGAATTTTTGGGAAAAAAAATTCAAAGTTGAAAAAGTTACATGTGGTATAACATGTGATTTATTTATTCTGATGGGCAAAAAACTGAGCAGACCTGTATGTACATGATAGACAACTATTGACTTAGCTTGCTGCACATATGTAGTGTGGGTGAAATGGCCCAGGTGTGCAGTATTAGATTCTTTTATGAAAAACTGTACTATTAATCATTTTCCTCTGCCAAATTGGGGAAGTTGAATGATGTTTACAGTGAGTGTCATACTCAGAATTGGAAAACTTATGCATCATACCTAGATGATAAACCTGAGTGTAGATGTTATAAACAAACCAGTCGACCTATTGACCTTGTTGATATAGATGGTGTGTGTTCTGATTATTTTTTTGTCAATTTTCCTTCATGTTTATGATGATCATGATCTTATATCACTAGGTTGGCTCAGCAGCAACAAACTTACATTCTGCAGGTGCTTCCCTGATGTTATTAGCCTCCTCTATGCAGGCTACTTAGCCACTTGGGCTAATTAAAATTTGACAACCTTTGTGAAATTGAATGTATATTGTGGGATTCAACCCACAAAGAAGGAGGCTATCTGATTGCAATTCTATGAAGAGCACTCATTATTTTGAACCTGCAGAAGGCATAACAAACATATGACCAGATAAGACCTGTTTAATCATTTGTGACAATATACAGTCAAACCCTTCTAAAGCTGTACCCCTCTGAAGCCTTCACCCGTCTATAGGCATGGTTTTTTGGTTCTCCCAAGCTGGGAGGTGCCAAAATTTGATAAAATCCCATAGTTTCTGCCTAACGCATTAACCCATACCCAGAATTCAGAAAACAATCTATCTTTTCAATGTCACCATGTCCGTGTGGTGTTTGCTTGTTGAGGAGCGCACACAAGTCGCCTTTGTACCTCAAAGGCAGTCCGTGTGCGCTCGTTGTTGGGCAACTGCCACAAGGTCACGGTGTGTAAAGCCATAGAAAAGTGGTCAATAGGGAGGTATGAATCCTTAAAGTCTTGCTCCTGAGTATTGTTGCACCAATCAGATACACACCATGACTTATCAAGATCATAGTTCACCACCACCACCAGAGAACTATGGCATAGTGGTCATACTGTTTGACGAAGCAAATTCACCTTACATCACACAATCTGGGAACTGAATCTATGTTCCTGTCTCTTCCTGCTCAGACAACCCTCTAAAGCAATGTTGTTCATGTCTTTAGAGGGATATTCTCTATGGTTGTAGGGAGACCACCCTCTAAAGCCGTGTCTTTCATGCCTTTAGAGGGTTTTCAATGTATAGCTATGAATGTATGCCTATAGAGGGGTTCCCCAACAAAGACATAACCCCTCTATAGCCATAGGCTTGCCTTTCCACCAAGGGGTATGGCTTTAGAAGGGTTTGACTGTATTGGCAACAGCAACTTTGCAGTAAGCGATCAAACAATAGATAGACTAACCAAAAAGAGAAGAAGACTACATAGGCACCTTGGACAAGTGAGAAAAAATGGTACAGCTCTACAGAAGAATAAAGAAAACTGGGACTAAAGAGGATGGTGTTGATTGGACTTGTTGATTTCTTGATGGGACAAGAGAATTGGTGGGGGAAGGAACTTGATTGTGCTACTTACATAAACTGAACCAAAGGGAGCTGAGTGCACTTCACCAAACCTTCACACTTGTCCACTTCATAAGTAAGCTGGTGAAGCTAATTGCCCCATCATGTCAAAATTACCCTATGTAATGCACCAAATATACCTGCTCACAAAAGACTTGCACTGAAAAACATCAATAAGGACTACAATGAACAATCAGTTTGGTCAATGAATTTTTGTCATTCATTTCTGTTATTAATATCCCAACATGTTGATCATATAGCCAGCTAGCTACGAACTCACAATTGTTATGAATGGAATATGTAGGATGTTTAATTGTGTTACTCAAGGGAAGTGAGCCAATACCGCAACCACTCTGCTCGAATGAGTGTGAGCCAAGCGGTTTTGGCATCCGCTCAAACCTCCGCTACCCAGAGCAGAGGCTGTGCACCGCGCTCTGAGGATAGGAAAGTCCTGAGCGGAGCATATTGCTCCGCTTGGAGCTGGGGCTCGAGTCGCTTTTTTATGGGTTTTTTTAGAATTTTCAGGTCTTTTGTAGTGATGAGCGCCGCAATATAGCATTGTGCGCCGCACACTGATGTTGCACTATGCACACCAAAGTAAGAAAAAAAATAAAAAAGAGTGATATTGTGCGTAGTGAGATTGACCTGAGCGGAGCGTAGCGGTTGCAGTGTTGACTGAGCCCACTTCACCCAACCTCAACACTTATCCTCTTCATATGTGCACAGCCAGCATATTTGGCTCGGAGCCAAAAATCCGAGTATTCCTCGGATTCTGACTCCGAGTTAACGGCCATCCAAGGATCCAATCCGAGGCAACGGCCAGGGTCAACATTTGCCTCGGAATTAGCCCTTGGGTGCCCTTTTCCTTGGGGGCGCCGTCCGAGGACTCCTCAGACGTTTGTCTCCGAGCCAAATATGCCGGCAGTGGTGAGCTGGGGAAGCTAATTGCTCATCATGTTGAAATCACCCTATTGGCAGTTAGTGTTATTATGTAATACATTATGTGGTCTTTTCAAATTCACATTTATTGAAAATTTTGCTAAATGGCTTATTTGAGTATGTGTTGCAGATCAGGGTTTTCATGTTATGTTTCCATCTTTTCTTATTTCATAATAACTTACTATGTGCTCATATGACTCTCTCATCTCTATATTCTGTTGTCCTATAAAGTCTCCTATGATCCAGCACTTAGCTTAGAGCTTCATCTATTCAAAGCTTTATTTCCTTATGATCACAATCCATAACTTATGTGTTTGTGATCTCATGCTTGACTCTATGTACTTCAAATCTTGTTTCTTTCTTTGTCTAATTATCTGTGTGAATATGTTGTGAAATCAACATTCATTCAAAGCTTTATTTCCTTATGATCACAATCAACTTACATGTTTGTGATCTTGTGCTTGACTGTAGTGCACCAGATATACCTACTTGTGAAAGACTCATTGTGTCACAGTTATAAACAGACTACAAGTCCAACAAAGAAGAAAACCTATTCTCAGGGCGTGTTCACTTGAGGAATTACTGAAATTTTTTAATCCAAAAATGAAACATGCACCACCAAACAAACACTTTAAATTTTGCAGAATGTGATTTTTCACCAGAAATTGCTTAAATGAATGCACCCTAGATGATTTCTTTTCCTTTTCACCTGCCTTGAGCCTAAGCCTACACTAGCAACTACACCACACCCACTTCAAGAAAAAAATCTAACCCATAACCAAAAAAAAAGACACATTGATGTTTTCTAACTTTTCCATGTTTGAAATATATTGATGTTTGGTTTTCTCTTTTGTTTTCCATGTTTGTATGTTTGTGTGTTTATATATTTCTAATTCTCTCTTTTTTTACTTTTCTATACAATAGAAAAAAAAAGAGCAAAAAAAAACTGAAATGAAATGAAATGAGAACAAAAAGAAATCAAAACCAAAATCAAAATCACAACATCACATCATCACATCAAAACAACACATCACACCAAAACAAAACCAAAACCAAAGAATAACATACCAATCCAATCAAAAATCAAAATTCAAAAATCAAAGAAAAAGAATGTTTTAAAACCAAAAAGAACAAAAAAAATATACACAAAGAAACAATCATGAATGTACAGAAAAAAAAGAGTAAACAAATATCGTTTTTTTTGTTCCAAAAAAAGTCAGAAAACAAATTGGATTCTTTTTTTTCTTGTTTCAAAGTCAGTCACCGACTTTTTAAGAAAGTCAAAAAAAAGTCAAAAAGAAAATGTAAATGAAAACGATAGTCCAAAAAGTAAAGAAAAAAAGTAAAGAAAAAGAAAAAAAGTGAAAAAAGTGAAAAAAGTGAAAAAAAAAGTGAAAAAAGCAAAAAAACGGAAATGATTTTTTTCTGGATATACAAAAAAACGAAGATATGTAATGAAAGTGTGATATACCAAAAAAAAAGAAAAAAAGAAAAAAAGCAAAAAAAAAGAGAATTAAATTAATCAATTGACATTCGATTTGCACTCCATTCGACTGCCCCATTCCCTGCTGCCGAATTGGGATCATGATGTCTTCTAGGTAAATGTAGTTTACTTGAAGATTTATTAGATTTAGATTGATCGATTGTAGAAGTCGAATCTAGATTATAATGCATTCCTAATGAATCTAAATTCTCTCCGTTTTTCCTTCGATTCACTTTTAATTCCCCCCAAAAAAAACTCAATCTTAACTTGGTTTCCCTTTTTTTCGTGGTGGGTTGGGGAAAAGAGAAAAAGCTTACTTGAAGTTTTCAATCCGTTTCCAAAGTTTCTGTAACAAATTATTCCAATAATCGAAGTCACAATTGCGTATAACAAACATGAAACCGCTTTCGAAAAAAAAAAGATCCCAAACCCAATCATGATACCAATAAGTAATTCGAAATTGAAAATCTAAATGATTCAAGAGAAAAAAACAAAAACTTACAAAACACTGTAAGAGATTTAAATACACTTTGATAAGAAAGTGGATCATCTCTACCCTGCCAAATCCTAAAAAGCTAAACCAACCCAAACCAAAAAAAAATCAACATCCAAACCAAGAACCAAAAGAAATCGAGAATGATGACATACTTTATAAACAAAATACCCAGCCCCAGAAACCAAACCGATCTGAAAAGACACCATACTCCAATCTGATTCTTTTCTTACACTAATATAACCCAAGACTAATAACACCAACGTTAAGGGTAAGGCAATGATCGTTAAGATCTTTTCTAGATTACTAACAGATGGAACTAATAAAACTAATTGTAATGAGAATGCAAAGAAAAAGAAATAATCAAATTTAAGTACACAGATGAAAACTGAATTGAAACGAAAAAAAAAAGAAAAGAAAAATTGTTAGTATTGGTTTTGAATTCTTTAGGGTTGATAATTAACAATAGAAACCAGAATCGATTCTTTTTTTTTTGGGGGGGGTCAACTCACTTTGATAAATGAAATACATCCTTTTAAGTCTACGATCAGCTCCGATTTGTTTATAAACTTGCCAACCAAACTCTCTAAACAAATACCAAAGTAAATAAATAAATCCTAATTCAGAAATCGTAATGACAGCTGGAATGGCTAGTAAGAGGATTGTAGATGATCCGTTTGAGGGGTCTTCGTTCGGTGTGGTTTGTTTTCCTACTTCTTCGATTTCTTTGATTTCAGGTACCTATTTCGGAAAACGGAGAAACAATCATTTGGACATTAGTATGAGGAAGAAATGGTGGATGAAGGTTTTTGGTTGGGGTTTTGAAAGGGTTGGGAGGGATGGGGTCAGATAGGATGTGTTTGATGATTCGGAGTCTGGGTTGGTGAGTCGTTTCGTAATTGTTGATTGTTGAGAAGTATGAGTGTTTGTATGAGTTCAATTAAAGGTTTTGAAGTGTTGATTCCAAAAGAAGTGTGTTTTGAAATCCTTCATCTTGATCAAACCGACTGATGCATAATAATGTGATCAAATATAACGACCATTTTAATAAACCAACCCAAACCCTTTTCCTAATGAACCCCTTCTTCGTTCCAACCCAACCAAACCAATAAACCATCAAAAACGAGAAAAGAGATTTCACCAACCTGAATGACAGCATAAACCAAGAAAGCCAAATTAAACCAACACAAACCAATAAGTTGAATTGTATTTTTTTGTCTTAAAGCATCATGAGCCAAAAACAATTGAAAAAGATGAGCCAAGATAAAGATCGCAAGATAAACAGCTAAAGGTGTTCTAGCTTTAGCATCTAATAATGATTTTAATAAATCTGTTCTTCCAATGATGATTGCTTCTAAGGTGATATTGATAAATGATTCGATAATCGTCACTAGGAGAAATGCTCTGGCGTGTTTTGATTCTGGGATTAGAAAGAATGTCTGTTGGGATTGGATTCATTAGTTAGTTTGGATTGGGTTTGGGATGATAAGTGTGGTTGTGGTTGAGGATTACATTACGATGAATGAAAGCTGATAAGTTCATCTGATGTTGGATTGTTGCTGTTTGGTTTTGAAGTTGAACTTGGTTTTCGATTGGGTTGGAATGAGTTGTGCTGTGCTGTGCTGTGCTGTGTTGAGAGTGAGTGAGTGATTGTTTTGAGTTTCAAGTGATTGGGATATCTTGTTACGATTCGAATTGGATTTAGATTTTGTTTTTTTTATTTTTTTTATTTTTTTTTATTTTTAATTTTAAATTCAACTCAACTCAATTGCTGTGAAAGTCTGGATTCTGAACTGTTTCTTGGCTATTCTTGGAATCTTAAACTGAACTGTATTTACAAACTATATACCACATTCGCAATTCAATTCTTTGCTGTTTCATCAAATTCAAATTCGTCCAAAATAAAAAGGGTCAAGTTTAATCATGTTATTATATCAATCTTTGACTCAAATTCATTAAAACCTTTTATCTCTTTTTTCATAAATCATGGTCAACTTTCAAGTGTCTTCTGGACCCTTGCATCATCTCAAGTTGTAAAAGCTAGTGGGTTTGTTTTGATCAGAATTATTTATCATCCTAGGTTCTGTGACCTTTCAAAAGATTATAAACCTCATTCTGTTTCTTTTAACCATCAACACTCCTCAATCAGTTTCAAAAACAACAACTTCACAAAATACAAAAGCAACACAACTATTGAAAAGAGTTTGATTTGATTTTGACTTCTGAGTCACTGGAATGGCTCACTGAGAAGGTTTCAAGAAGTCTTTCTCTCATCACTTTCATACCCAGCTCTCCAGAGTTCCTTTTACAAGTTCTTACCACATTCTTTCATCACTTTGTAGCTTTGAGGAATAAAACAAATCAGGTACCACACTTTAAGCAGTAGTACTACTGATAAAGATGATGAATTGGTTCTAGAATGAAGAAACAGAGGTAATGGTATGTTTCAGCAAAATTCATCAACTGTTACTCACAAAGCTTCAAATTCACTTCTTGGTCACTTCAGTTTTCTAATTCATTAGGAAACCTCTCTAACTTTCAGAATTGAGACCCACAAGATCTCAAGTATGAACTTATGTACATCAATGGTTTTTTTGAAAGGTGATGTTTAATATCTATGCTTTTTCACCTTTGACTAAGGATGTGAAGTCAATTAATAAAGTTTTCTTCAGTGAGTATAGGTCATGAAGTTACACCGCAGGAATTAACTTGTTTGAAACCCGAATGAGCGGAATTTTGGTGTCCGGGTTCAAAATTTCCTCAAATCGAGAAACTCGTTCACAACTCGTTAACATTACGTTCGCCAATTTCCCTCGAGTACACTACATACTACATACACATACACAGCACTTTCAAAACCTCCAATTCCAACCGTTCAAGTATCTCACCCCTCATCATGTCCCCACCCAACTCCTTTCTTCTTTCATGGTTGATCAAGGCTTTACAAATGAAGGTGAAGGTGAGGAATGGTGAAAGGGTTTGTTGTTGTATCATGTGACTGTACATACACGGGGCCAGCAGAGTACAGAGTACTACTACAGCCCGAGGGAAATTGGCAAACCTATTGCTAACGAGTTGTGAACGAGTTTCTTGATTCGAGGAAATTTCGAACCCGGACACCGAAATTTCACTCATTCGGGTTTCAAACGAGTTAATTCCCGCGGTGTTAATTCCAATTGAAAAGATTTCAAAAAGACTGGTTATGAAATGAGTGAACAAAACATTCTCTTTTATTTGCTTTTCTTTTACAATCACTTACTGTTATGATCCCATTAGTGACACCTGTATTTACACTTACATGACATGTACGTAGAGCATAGCCGTGGCGCCCATGAGCAGCAGGCATTGTTCCTCACTTAGCAATCTAGTTATAGTACCAGATCACTCGTAGCCTTCTCTTGCATCTCTCATTCCCACGCTGGTCCTTACACTTACTAATTAGTCATCAGAAAAACCATTTCCAATGAGCCCAAACTCTTATAAAACTTTCATATTAGATACTGAATCTACACCACATTTCATCCAATCAACACTGAGGCAGCTAATCTAACTGTAGCTGATAACGTAAGATAGTGTAGCTAAAAACATGCTTCTAAGCTACAGCTAACATGAATCAGCATGAATGAAGTCTAGCTACCCTATGCAGAGTACCAGGAAATCTCCAGCTAATCAAATTTTGGCCCTGTAGTGTAGTGTAGAGGCACAAAAATCAGCGACAGTAGCTTGTAGTGTAGCGTAACTTGACAAGCTACACTATCATAAAGGTCAGATTCTTGTTAACTGCATACAGCCACGCTACACACAAAACATATGGTAGCGTGCTGTAGCATTCTCAGTGTTGATCTAATACAAATATCCACATATTCATCTGGTTTTATCAAATCAAAAAAAAAGATATTCATAATCCAATCCTCTAATCTTTTAAAGTTTTCAAGAATCTCTCATTTTGTTTTTAGATCAATGATCATGATCAAATTTCTTAAACTCAATTTCTTAGACTTGTGAATAAATATATAATAGGAACTTAAAGAAGCCAAAGATACCTTCATAAGATTCCACATTCAAAAAATAGCAATATATTAACTGAAAGAAGTTTAACATATTCTATCAAAAAATACTCAAACACAAACTCATACTTTATGATCAAACATACATGATCATCTATCTCCTTGGAATATCAATCTATCCCAATATAATCTGACCATAACTCATGTAACACTTTCATAAAGCTATATTCATACTAGAACCTATCAAATCTGATGGTTTAATCAATTATAGAGTTCAAATCTTTATGGTACTTAAACCTGTGCAAACCTTTGTGCAAGTTTTGTGAAAATTCTGTGCAAGGCATGAATAGAACTGACACAGAGCTTGCACAGGGTTTTTGCACAGGTTTGAGGACCATGATTATTATGCATATCAACCTAGATCTTTTTGTCATCAGATTCATAAAGATCTAGGGATCCAAAACCCAAAGTAAAGTATACAAGAAAAGGTATAATAGTCAAATCTTCCTTACCAATGCCGTATTTGGAATAATCAATCAAAACTGTTCTCTTCATTCACATCTTTTTTAATCAAAATAATGGTGCCTTCATTTTCTAAGACTAGGACTAAATATAAGTTGAACCTTTGTAGAAGTTTTATTCAATTAATATCTGGTTATTTTAAGTGGTACAAGATCAAAAGTTTTCTTCTGACTCCATCAAAGAACTTGTTTTAATTAATTACACATATTTTCATTTCTGTTCCAAATATAATTATTTGGTTTCAGATCCTATAATCCTACCCAGACTGATCATTCAATGTATTAAACTTAATAGTACATTTCTTTTTGGTTTGATTCTTATCCTTTTTTTTGCAAAGAAATAGGTTTTTGTGACTTTATCAGATTATTTGTTCAGATAAAATTTTCCTTGATGAGGCATTAGGCTTGGTATTACTGATTGGGATAATAAAGCTGAAAAGGATAACATCTTTAAGTGTAGGTGTTGGATGATCATGTGAGAATCCAGGGCTTTGGAACAGTCTTGAAGACCACTAACAAGATTGACGGATTTCATATAATTCAGAACATGATGATTGATCACAGAGCTTGATAGAACTTTTCACTATCATGAAGTGGATGCAATATGGTTGATAAGCTAGAGAGACACCTAAGGTCACATCGAAAGGTAGAAAGACAAAATAAATAGGAATAAGTGAACAGATTGACACCCAAACTTTGGTGAGATGGCTACAATCAAAATCCATGGCTTTGAGTGGATTTGCAGTTTTCAGTATCAAGTGAGAACTGGTTTGTAAAATAGGAATTTTAAGATCAGATGTCCCTTTCTTTTGCTTTAAACATCCATGACGACCCAAGTATGAACTACACGGAATTTCCTACTGCATTGTAGAGAACGTTTGCCTTTGATGATTGTAAGATTAATTGACCCAGTTGTATTCCATAACTTGGAACTAGATATGAACTGATAGGATAACATGGTAGTCTTCAACTCAAGGTCTTGCGTGTACGTAGAATGAGTTGATAGAAGTTGAACGGGATCTGCCCTATTAGTATGATGTCAGTTTCATTTTCGTTCTGATTAGGATAGAAGACCAGGACGTCAAAATTCAATGATGAGCCATGAGGAATTTCTAAAAACAAACTCCACTTTGCACACCAGCTCAGAGATTCACTGAAAGCGGTTTCAGTCGAATGAAAAATTTTGACTGGGAGATTGTCTCACCTGAATATTTTCCGTAAGACCTTTTCGCTGATCTATATATCGCTCAAGTTGTAAGATTCATCGCACATATCCCTTTTAGATTTTTCGAATCACCAGAGATTTGACAGTGTCATCATTTTAATATGAAGATTCAGACCGCTGTACTGTTTTTCTTGCCTTCAAAGCACTAAGAGACCTTCCTGGACTGAGATTCGAAAGAGCCATAGCTTGAATTAATATGTTGCCTACAATCTTCTTTCGAATGACTCATGAGCAAGGAAATGCCTAACAAGTCTAGCTATTTTCCTGGGAAGAAATAGTAAACTCCCGGAATTGAGTCATCTTTTCCCAATAGCCTAAGCTCATAGCTATGCCATCTCGCTTATGGAAATACGTATTTGATCCGACCAATACACGCCCCAATTAAGAGCCTGTGCCTTTTCACCAAGCTATGGATCCAGCAAGATTGACCGCCTAAGTTGAGCTAGATGTCATTGAGAGGGTATAAATACAAAGACCTCACCACTTTTATCTTTCCCTCATCGCGGACCAGTCCTTCAATAGTTACTCATACTTCTTACTTCCAAACAACCCCATTCCTTTTATTTCATCAATTCAATTATGAATACTTACTTTATTACCCTTTGCACAATTGCTATCGCGCTTGGTACGTAATTGTTATCTTTAATCTACAATTCCCAAGTCTTATTATGCGATTACTGATCTGTTTTATTTCCTTTATCTCTCAGCTGCGCAAGCCGGAGCTGATGGTATGATTCCTGATGTTGGCTCATTGTAAATTTCATAACATTCTTGTGCCAAACCTGATGAATTGCTGATCATGTATGCTGACTGAAGTGGTATTGATCATTTGTATTTCCTTCATATCTTTTAGGGCCACTATCCCTGAGGGTCTACTTGGGAACATCGTCCCAACTGATCTCACTGGTGGTCAAGAAGCTGAAACCGATGGTGCCGATGAAGCTGATGACACCGACGAAGGTGATGAAACCGACGACACTGATGCGTTGTTGAAGAGAGGTTTACTCTCATCCGATCATGTGAGTAGTATCTTTCTGACTCTTTCGCACTTTGATCGTTCCCGACCCTGATGTTGAATTTCTCTATAAAACGCAGAATGACGATAGCCTTCTGAGTGTTGATGTGGACACTGACCCACGCGAATCGTCCCACAAAGTCAGTTCAAGCTCATCTTCATTCCATCACTTTCCATGGAGCACTGCAATCATATTGATATTCCTTTGCATCTCATATCGCTAGGTCAAGAAGGAGTCGCAGGATGATGGCCTCTTAGGCAGTCTTTTAAAGCGAGGATATACACCCTCCGTGAGTTCTCTATATTTTGACTCTTGGTACACGCGTAGATCTCTGAGTGTAACTACCTCATTTTATCTGCTTCAGCACTCTTCCAAGACTGAGGATTACGATTCCGATTCTGCCACTTCGCCAACGAGTGATTCACCCCAGGAAGATGAATCGTCTGACTCACCATCAATGGATGGAACGGACGCTTCACCGACTGGTGGAAAGAGTGGGAAGCACAAAGGATACGCACCTTCCGTGAGTTCTCTATATTTTGACCCATTGTACTCGCGTAGATCTCTGAGTGTGACTACATAATTTATCTGCTTCAGCACTCTTCCAAGACTGAGGATTCCGATTCCGATTCTGCCACTTCGCCAACGAGTGATTCACCCCAGGAAGATGAATCGTCTGACTCACCATCAATGGATGGAACGGACGCTTCACCGACTGGTAGAAAGAGTGGGAAGCACAAAGGATATGCACCTTCCGTGAGTTCTCTATATTTTAACCCTTTGTACTCGCGTAGATCTCTGAGTGTGACTGGATCATTTTATCTGCTTCAGCACTCTTCCAAGACTCAGGAATACGATTCCGGTTCTGCCACTTCTCCAATGAGTTCTGCACCAATGATAGGTGGAATGCCTGGCTTACCATTGATCGGTGGCATGGGCGTTTCACCGATGGGTGGATTGAGTAAAAAGCCCAAACTACCTGGAATGCTCGGTATGCCCGGTATGGGTGGAGCCCGTGGTATGCCTGGACTGCCTGGACTGCCTGGTATGCCTGGTATCCCTGGAATGTCTGGAATGTCTGGAATGTCTGGAATGCCTGGAATGGGTGCCTCACCGACGGGTGATAGCGGTGAGGTCACTGATGCAACAAGCCACGAATCCAAACAGCACAGCAGTCATTACACCAGAGGATTGCTCTCGGTTAGTCATATTGCATTTATCATTGAGTTCTACTTGCATACCTATGATTTTACCTCGATGGAATTCTGACCCAATCTACTCCTTCCGTCTTGGTCATCTCTGGTCTCTTGGAATCTTAGAGCGCCCTACCAGCTGGGCAACTCACTGATATCCTTCCTCTTGGTGGTTCCAATGGGTTTTTGAAAGTCCGTCGTTCTAACGAAGAATAGATGTCTCTCGCGCGGTATTTTGGTGATTGGTTCTCGATTCATCTTTACCATTTTGCTTTGTTTTTGTCCGACTTAATTTATTTGTCCTGAGCTATCAAGCAGCTTCTACGCTGTGTGCATTTGTAATTGGGTGATGGTATCATTTTAATGAGAATCACTCTTTCTTACCCCTCCGAGTTGGTGGCTAGCCTGCTATCAATTGGCCAGGAAACCTTGATCACCATTTGGATTTCCTCTTGAGCAAAAAGCACGTGACTCGACACCACGCTTTTTTAAATTACCGTACAACTTACTTCCGAACTTCGAGTGAAGTGCACACCATGTTAGGCTTAGCAGCGAGATAAACTCCGCATGTTTATGATCTCTCATACAATTCGGATATGTACCACAATATCTCGTACTTTTGAGTAACAGTTGCTCTTCTACATACTTGAGTTCCCATTGACATAAATTCGATACAATATTGTCTGAACAGGAACATCAGTTTGAATCCGTCCAATACACACCGCAAGCGGTGCATGTTCAAAATATCATGAGAATGGGTGCCGAACCTTCTGAAGGAGATCAGAGATGGCTTATCTTGGAATTGTGATGACTTTGATCACATTGCCCGTGGTAAAATCAGTGACTTGTTATCCTCAGGAGAGGTCAAACTCCAAAGCTGGCACTGTGATTTGAATCTCCCTTGGCTTTATTCTGTTTTTATGAGGATGTCATAAGTTCTATCTTGGTTTGTTCTTTCCCTTAAAAATGCTTTTACCATGGCTGAAAGGATGATTTTTACACCAATTCAACTTTCTGTTCAATCTTTGAAAAACAAATGAACAAATATGATGACCAGTCCATTCCACTTTTGTCATGATATATATGTGTGTACAAAAGTGGGAAAATAGCATGATTTGCATTGAATGAAAACCTTTATAATCAAGTTTGTCAAACCAGTTTCACTTTTGTTTACAACAGTAAACTTCAAAGGCCATTTTTTACAATAAAACAAATTGTGAATTTATCATTTTTTCATCTGATCAGTTTTAAAGACCTTATAAGAATAAGAAGCCTGTGATGAATTTCATAGATTGATGAAAACACATACACCATTTTGTCAAATTTGATACATACACAACAAAAGAGAAAACCGGCCATATACTGTGCAATGGATTAGGTAGGTAGGAAACCTGATCTTTCATCTTATCAAAATTGTTAACTTTCCTTTTGTTTCAATGGACCCCCATTGGAGTTTGTGAGATAGAGCACAATATATAGGATCAAATTTACAAACCATGTATTAAAATCCATTTATGCATATGCAATCAAGAAAAAACTCATTTTGTGAAAGGGATCCAATCATAAGAGATATACATTTCAAATGTCTTTTTCCTCTTGGAGTATCTTTTATGCTGTGCAAAATAAAAACAGGCATGTACATGACTTACATACAGAAAGGAATTGATGACTTTTCTTTTGCCTCTACTACAGGGGGTTAACCCCGGTTCTGCCTGCCCTGCAAAATCAAAATCTCACCTTTTGGGACAAAGACAGCTCACTCAACACTGCAAACATCAAACAACTTCCCTTCAATTGGGCATGGGAAAATGATTGGAAGTATAATTGGTCATAAAGCATTGATCACTACACACCTGAGCCATAGCACCCACACTACATATGTGCCACAGGATGGGTAGATTGGGAGCCATCATGTACATACAGAGATGCTCAGATATTGGCTCATCTTGATGAGTAAACCATACGTAATACCATATGTAATATTTTTCAGTTTGACAAAAGCATTCCAAAAATTGACTACATATACCTCCATAGCCACTGAGGCAATACTTTGAAAGTCATTTGATAATAACAGAAAGGGTGTTACATGAAGTTTAATTAATGTAACTACACCAAAGCTATGAGTTGGTGTATGTAGTCACTATTTGGAATGCTTTTCATGCCAATTGAAAAGAGTAAGACCAGCTAGATGGCCAATGAAGGAACTATGAAGAGGTTCAAGTTGATAATACATAAACGGTAATCAAGGGAAATCTCAAAATCCAAGTGTAGCTTAACTAGTTAATGGTTTTATCCTTCAATTTAAACACCTTATCGTCAAATACCTCTGCATCTTTGCGCCTCTCACATGACTGAATCAATCCCAATTCCCACACATAAATATTGTACCATTCCACACTTTTGACGACCTGCTGTTCCCTTCTGAGAGAAATTTTCCAAACCATACTTGCTCATCTAGTTTGTTCAGACATCTTTCCATCAATACATTACAATAAAGCCAGGGAAATGAAAGGAGGTTTCCATGTCCAAGGCTTAGGCTTGATATCTCTCACTTCAGTGAATCCACACGCTTCAAACACATATTGCCTAGGACCAATAGTCAAGCAATATCAGAACCAGCTTAATAAATTTCAAGAAGACATTCTTTCGAAGATTTCACCTTTGTTGAACATATTGCAATAGTCTATATCACTTTAAAAAAATGAAATCGAGAAACAAAATCCTATATACATCTCTTTTCAGATTGTTTGATGCTATTCACAGGGGCCAAAATAGATACTCACATACATGTGAGCGTTGTAGACTTTTTGGAATTCTCCAAAAAAGATTGGTTTTCTTTCAGATTGATTCAATTCAAAATCTTGGTTGTGTTCCGGTGATCAGCCTGTGGTGCTATATTTTACTTGACATTCGTTGAGAAGGCTCATTTCCATCTTGGATGAGCAATAACTGATTTCCGATGAGTACTCAGGATCAGCTCATGGGTCACTGAATACTCAGCAATTTGTTCAAAATGAAGATGAGCACATGAACTATACCTTCCTGAGGCTTCATTTTTCAGTGAAGAAGCCTGCACAGGGGCGTCCCATTTGAGCTGTTCAGCAAATACTTAGTAGCATCCCCTGACTGGATCACTGATGGGCCAGACTTCCCTCAGACTTCCTTGCTAAGGAATGAAGCCTGATAAAAGTGCCATCCCATCTGCTCAGTTTATCTCAGTTGCTCAGCTAATCCTCAGTGATATCCCCGGATAAAGTTTTTCACACTGAGGGGCTGAGATCAACTGAGCAGCCCCTCAGCCAATACTCAGTGACATCCTTTGGATCCTTCTGATCCGGCTAGGAATTCCCCTGAGGACTAGCTGAGCAGCTGAGCAGAATGAGCAGCCCCTCAGCCAATGAGCAGTGAGTTCCTCCGGGGCCTTCTGATCTCAGGAATGCCCCTGAGGAATAGCTGAGCAGCTCAGTTGAACAAGCAGACGGGCCTCAGGCTTCATTCCAGAGCCATGAAGCTTGAGGAAATCTTGGTGCTCTGTGATCCGTCTGGGGGATGCTTCAGAGACTTAGCTAAGGGAATACTCAGTTCAGCTCAGCCCCTAAGCTATACATTAGTGGCATTCCTTGGAACTTATTGAACCAGGGAATGCCACTCAGGATCAGCTGAGCAGATGGATCAGCCCTTCCTCAGACTTTGTTGCTCAGGAATAAAGGCTGAGGAAGGCTTAGTTTGTCTGCTCAGTTGCTGATGATCACGTAATCAGGTGACAAGCAGAAAGAAAAGGGAAACAAATTGGAAACAAATGGGAAACAAATGGGAACAAAACAGGAACATTTCAACACTCACATAGTTGTGAGCATCAATTTTTGCCCCTGTGATTCCTTTTGGAGAAATCTGTCCAACTGAAATCTTTTTAACAGTAAGAATGCAACAATGATTACAGACAAATTGTGAGGACAGAAGATGAAATGGAAATCTGATTGGATACTGCTATATCAGGCCCAGCCTGATGTAAGATTTTATCAGACAGTCAATTACCTTCAAAAGTTCAATGTCTAAAGTTTTTATCACCAAAGCTCTCTGACTGGTTTGGCCGGGGACAGCCCCGGTCCGACTGGTCAGGGGGTTCCAATAACACCTACTTTCACCAAAACAATCAAAACTTTGGGGGTTTTCACCAATTTTGACCAAACTTTTGTATTTTTTGTGGGTTTTTATGCTATAAATCTGACTTAATTATGATGTTAAGTACATAGCTAGCTATGTAAAGCCATGAAATCTGCCTGTATTAGGCTTGCATCAGGCTCAAATCAGCCCACGGTCCGACTGGTCAGGGTCTCAGATCAATTTCTTTTTGCAAAAGTGGCTGTACAGGTTCATGAGTACTATTTCTTGGTTCTTCTACACCTGAATAGTCCAAAAATGGGATTTTCAAGAAATATCATGGCATAAAAAATACCAAAGTACCGGGTCAACTGCCCCAATTTTTCTTGCAGGGAGCCAGTCAGAGGGCTTTGGTGATAACAACTGTATATGTTTATTCTGATCCAAAAAAACCGCACCAATTAGTGCCTCAACAAATTTTCCCAAACACAATTTCCCAAGGAATTGGGGCTTTTGAATTATATGTTGTTGACCCGTTGACCTAAGAATTCATTGTTGGTTAGGTCCTTGAAACATTTGTTTGCCTTGCTTACCCTGTGGCCTGCCTGATGCTTCATTATCCCCATTGCGGCCCATAAATCAAGCACAGAATCTCCAATCCATTCTAGGAGCCGAAATTCTGGGTGGTCAAGAGTGAGAGCTTTTTGAAATAAATTAGGATCCCAAAACCTGTAGTTGAGCTTTTCTTGGACCTCTTATTCACCTGCAATTGCTTCCATATTATCTACATCATTATATTGAGTGGTATACCAATGATACAAATAACAGTCAAGGACAATTGTTTGAGCAGATTCTTTGGTGCGTTTCAAACCATCTGAAAAATATACTGCACCCAGTGCTACATAGAGCACTTTGATGATGCCTTTGTGATTTGAGTTGACGTTACCTTGGTCTTCAGTTGCCTCTTTGTAATATTGTTGAAATAGTGCAATGCTGGAAAAAACTCGCTCATAAAATGGGGTACGGAGGAACAAGCTACTCAAAGTTGCTTGTCTCAATCCTTTTTTCCGCATATTGTTGAGTTGCTGGAGCTCAGTGCAAGGGTACCCAGATGTAAGATTTACGGTACAAATCATCTTGATAAAAGCAACTCCAATCTTCTGAAGATAAATCCTATGTATTCCATTTTTGATGGCATTCTTGATCTGTTGTGTCAGCTCTTCTTCATTGGATAGACTTGGGAGATCATAGGGCAAGAAAGAACGTGTACGGTTGATAATCTTGGGGAGGTATGAAGCAACCATCTAGAAGTCTAAGGGGTATGGAAGCCTACTGATTTTGTCCAAAACACCCTGCTTACCTGAGCTGACTATGTTCCATTGAATTTTATACTGATCTTTGTAAAGTGGAACAAGATATAAGATGGTGTCATGAGAAGTTTGAGAAATTGCTACGTTGATTGTCTTACTGAAGAGGTCCAAAAATTGGTTCAAATTGTTGAGTTGAGCCCAAGTTATCTGGGATGTTTGTGTTTCTCCTTGAATGAGAAAGAAATTTTTAAGCTGTGCTAAGTGATACTCAAAGTGAGAGAAGTCAGGAGATCTGAAATGGGGAAATACCAGGCCAAGGATGATGCTTTTTCCGCTGTTCAGGCATATGAGGTGGATCCTATGGAATTCAATGGTGTGGCATTCCTTTCTTGGTGGCTGTGTGTGATTGATTGTTTTTGATGTCTGTGCAATGTATCAAAGTCAATTGTTGATTCATATTGATAATACTTTTGGAAGCCATACTTATTTATTAACTCACTTTGTGACCATTTTAAGTTGATGCAATATTGATTTTGAAAGAGTTTTGATGGAGATGTGATAGTCACGGAGCTTTGTGTGGATTTTTTCTTTAGGATTTAGGGGTGATATGGGGGCGATGCGTGCTACTTTGTCAAATGCGAGAAAGAAATTAAAAGATATCAGCCCAGGTGACTCGCATGTTTCATGGCTGGAAAGTATGCCCCCATTACGAAAGGTAGGAAGCAAAGAGTTCAATATTGAAAGATAAGAAGCGCACCAAGTGTTTTGATTGTAGATGCTGTGTTCGGTGATTGGTTCGCAATATGGACTTAGAGAGCAGAAGGCCATCTTCCTTATATACGTATCATTGAACTGATGTGTGTTTTTGATTGACGTGGTATGATTCGAATGAGCTTTAACAGCTGATGTGTGAGGATTTAATCCGTTTACCAACAAACAAAAGCACTTCAAACTGAAGTGGTGGTCGGCCTTTCATGTTCTTCAAACCGCCAGGTTGAAGTCTCTGATGACCTAACGGTCATATCTGAACAGATTCTCACTCGTGATACTGAGTGATAGCGTTGTCTTAGTAAATATTAAAGAATGTTTTTCATATTTTTGTTTTCTTTGTCAATGAGACAGAAGCTCTGCTCCGCAGAATATTCCACCCTTGGCATGTCGATTCGAAGATCAGGAGGCACTTGACCGTTTCCGTAAGGCGTTCACGGTAAGCGGGCGACGCGGATGCCGTGGTCGAGAAATTCCACCGGCGATGACTTCCTTTTGATGTGAGTTTTTAGGGTCACCATGCCCGGATCAATGCCGAGACAACTTAATAAAAACGTTTTAGAGCATTGACAACGGACATCTCTACCAAAACTTTCATCTGGGCCAAATCCCTTCAAGGGCTAGTAACTGGCTTACGATCATTTCGATGATTCTGACCTTGACAAATTCTGGAGATAATCATCAACAATTCTATGGTACATATAAAATTCGGATGTCACAGGAAGGTACCACCACCACTTCTTCGTAGCCCAGCATCCAACCCATTACATCAGAAGCCCTGCTTTAAGATCGTAGGTGGCTTTTCACAGAGCAGAGCAGATTTCAGCACGCCTTTCCAAGTTTTTTTGTTGATAGTACCTGTCGGCAATGCTAACAACAGCCGCCATGAATGATCTCTTTAGCTGTAAAAGAGCCAACCACTCACTTCATAGTTACACAGCCTTCGTGTCTCTTTGTTATCTTCCTTTTAAAGGCCAAGGTAGGACTCTAACAACTCTCACTGCTATGGCAAAATGAATGATATACACGTGATGAAGAATTTCATCCTGTAAAAATATCGATCCTCTCGAATGAAGGCTGAGGGAGTACACATTAGGTTCCCAGTCTATCAGATTCATTCTCCATCATGTACCAACATCCTTTGAAATATCTAACAATCTTTCAAGAGTAGACTTCAAAACAACTGGATCTGCACGTCGCTGACTTCGACGCATACCTTCTCCTACAAGTTTCCCAACGATTTGATCATGTCCACCACGTCTAATCAATGTCACCTCACGTGTCATATCCCTGATTATTTCAACTGCCAATTCTTCAGTTGATATCGTCTCCGTCTGATTAGGAAGCTTTAGATAGTCTTCAAGCTGTTGGGATAATGAACCGCGTTCATTTTGTATAGCGCGCTCCAACATCTCGCGAGCAATAGGTCCTGTCATGAAAGGGTTCAGGAACGAGTACTTGATCAGATCTTTGGTTTCTAGGTCTAGGACAACAGTGAGGGTTATCGAGCAAAACACGTACTCGGAACATCCTTCTTTGCTACGCTATTTATCAAACGAGCTAATTCGTTCGGATTGATTGGAGTATCAACAAATGCAATCCCATATTTTGATAACAAACCAAGCAAATCATTCAGAATCCTATTCAAATACAATCAAATATCATTCAATCATCCAAAACCTTTTCAAATCAGTTTCAACATCATTAATTGATCAAAACCATTCACATACCAATCTGCAACAAGTTTACCATTTATTTCTGGTTGAACAACAGACATAACCGCTTCAAAAAATCGTACCCCACATCCCACATCTAAAACATTATCAATACTATCCTGTCCGATAGCCAATAAAATCTCTGATGTCTTAATAGGAATTTTGTATTTCGAATGGATCCTATCGACTGTTTGGTCCGGTAGTTCAGGAACCAGTTCTCTAAACTGCTCTACGATATTCTAAGTATTTCCAAACAAGATCAGTCAATGAGAGGAAAAGTTCAAGATGATATGTACTTCATACCTGTGGAATTGAGATTGGTGGGATATCTGCATCAGGCATATATCTATAATCTGTAACAGTTTCCTTGCTACGAAGTCGATAAGTACTTTGCTTAGCCATATCGAATCCTCTCGTTTCAGACACGACATCCTGATTCTGGTCTATCAAAGCGGCTTGTCTCCTAACCTCGTATGCTGGATTAACGATAAGTGAGATATTGGATTAGATGACTCAGATGAGTGATCTTATCACAAGTATAGGTTTTCTTGGATACCAAACTTGTGAAATAAACTTTGAAAGGAAGAACGTTTACGAGAAAGTTGATGCACTAATCGCTTGCTCAATGTTCCCAAATCCATTTACGTTTTTGATTTCACATCTTGTGCCAAATGAAGTAGATCCTTTCGGTTTGACTGATACATTCACATCACATCTCAAAGAACCCTTTGATGAAACCCAAATCAGATAACTCACTCTTGTGAATTCCTTAGGAGAACAACTACGAGCTGTTACACACCTGTTCCATATTGCCTTTCGAAACTCCAGTAGCCCTTAAAATCGCTTGGAGCTTGCGCACAAATATCGACGCTTCGCGTGCGGACCTAGTTATTGGCACAGACTGATTTAGACAAACTTATGACTCAAGAGACCCAGAGCCACAAATCCGGAAACTGACTGGATGTCTGGCTCAGTGACTATCTCGATCAAAGCCGCTCCGCTCCTGTTTAAATCGATCAGGATGTTGTCACCCAATGGATCCTTGTAAGACTTTGCAGTGTCCTGAAAAATCAACAACCAAACCTGTCAGACCATTATCATTGGATAAGATTAGAAAAATATTCAAGACACGAACCTGTTCTAATTGAACCTGCTTGATCCGCACATCAAATTGCCTATCTGAACCATCTCTTGGACCAATAGAAACCTTGCCATTTCTTGCAATCGGAGCTAAAGAAAAAATCCCGTTCAAGATTTTAAAAAAAAAATTAACAAGCAAACTCAAAACCATCATCACAAAAGAAATCAAAATGACCCACAATAATGTTGAGTGATTTGATAACCAGCCGGTAAATCAGGATAAAAGTAATGTTTACGATCAAATCCAATGATAGATTGAACATCACATTTGAAAGCTAAAGAAGCTACTAAAGCTAATCTAAGACAATCCCAAGATAAGATCTTGGTTTTTCCATCCCAAAGAGATAAGTTTGTTTGAATTCAAATCAGATTAAAGTTGAAGTTGAATTTGAACGAAACTGGTTGGGTTCCTGGAATAGCAGCATCAAATAGAGCTACATTTGTGTTACTTTCCAGTTCGGTAGTTGGACCACGAGCTGAGTAAAATAGGTTCGATCAAAAAACAACTTGGTATCATTCAAAGCAAAATATAATCGCAACTTAAACGTACCTGAAGAAAATAACTTTGATGAACTAGCCAATTGAACATGCAATTCGAGTCCAATAGTAGGTTCTACGCTCGATGGTTTCCATGTAGAGTAATACGAATTACGAGGTGATGAGGATCTTGACTGATTTTGACGACTTCCTGAACGTGACAAAGAACTCCATCGATGAATCCTGACGACCGTTACTAAATCATCGACTGTCTTGACTGCTCTGAAGGCCATCATTCGAACCGTACTTGAAGGTAAAAGGTATCTGGGAAGTTGGAACTCATCAAGAAACATGATTTGGAGGATTGTCAAGTTGATTGATCTGGCATGCCGTTTCAAAAGAGGGCGCGCACAGACGCGCCGCAACGTATGTATGCAGTTCTCTAAACTTGAGCAATGAGAACAATCAAGGCCATCCTAGGCATGGAAGGATTTCACTACAGAGCTAAGAAGAGGACATTGTAGAACTAAAAACTTCCATCATCAGAGTTCACTGAGTGGATGTGAACCAAAAGACGCATCATACCCATTGATGATCCAAGTGGCACTCTGTTGAAGTTATTATGTGTGCTACTCTGAACTCAAGTATGTCACAAATCTCCTATGACATCATAGTTATATTTCATCTTTTTCATCATAGGTCAAATGTTTGTTTCATTTATCTACCTGAAAAGCTGATGAATGGATTGTTCTTCACCTATTCAATCCGTCCATCTTAGGCACAGACCATTTGCTTATAGACCTCGAGTCTATTTGGTACTGGCCATAGCTTTATGACACCCTTGAAATGGGACTTGTCAAAACTCACATGATATTTGGTAAAAAATACCAAATAGAAATAGGCCAGTGTTTGGTGCGAAACCCAAGGCGTAAGCCCAGGGGATAATATTACTTGTATGATAGAAAACACGCCCTATCTGACCCGCCTAACAGCGTACAACCAAGAGTGGTGACGTAGGAGAGGAAGTGAATTAACAAACAAAAACATTGTCAGTAAATATTCGCCCAAACCATATCAAACAGAAGAATTCTTTCTAGGTCAAAACCATAGACATAACACACTAGGCGGCAGCCATTAACCAATACGTGCGGAAAGGCTGGTAGCCATAGACCACTGCTGAGGTATGATAACCATTGACCAAAGACAAGGCCATAGCCATACACTACATCAGATTGCAAATTTACCGCTGAGTTTAGAAAATTAGGCAAACATAGAAAATTATACACACGGCAGAAGGGGTCAGAAAAATATGAAAAAATAAGGGTTGCATAGCCCTGCATGTGCCTATCATTTTGCATATTTTTTCATGTTTTTATGGCAGCAGTGTATATCAGGTCAGAAACTCAGCTTTTGTCCAAAACTGGCACTTATTTAGTCATTAATCTTGTGAGACAAATAAAATTGTCCATTTTGGTTCACCATATGTAATTTCTTTGCATTCTAAATGCTGAATGTTTGATTTACAATGTACACATTGGAATGGGCGGTATGTGTCCAAAAATGACCAAGGTACAGCAATCACAGTCCCCATCAGCAAAGCAAGAAAAGCTTATAAATCTTTGCCGCAATGCTTATAGCATCTAAATGAAAATTGTAGATCCTGGGTGTGGCTTTCATAATTTGTGACTACCAAATTGATTGGAAAAAAATTGGTGTCTTTGTGAATATTCACATTTCTTCCCAAACCTTGGTAGTTTTGGACATAATTTGGGTTTCTGACCAAATATACCTCAACATCATTTTTCTTTGAAACATCTTCAACACTAAAGGTAAAAATAAGAAACAATATGCAAAAGAAGGAGACATCAAAGGTGGATTCAACCATAATTTTTCAATTTTTTTCAACCCCTTAAGCATTGCACAGAATTTTCTTCATTTTGACTTTTCTAAACTCCATGGTAAATTTTTGATTTGGTGTAGTGATAGACAGTCTTTCTTATAGATAAAAAACCAAAGAACTCAGTACTTGAAAACAACATTAGCTCCAACGTGAGACAAATGACCAATAATATGATTTTGGTTCTCTGGTAACCTAAGCGCAGCGTGACCACAAACATAAATGAGAAATGCATCAGATGGCCAACAACCAGCGCTTTTGACATACAGTCAACTCTGAAATAACCCATACCCCTTGTAACACATACTCTGGCCTAACCCATGCCTTTTTTGGTCCATAATTTCCACTTTTTAGCCCAGAAGACCATTGTGATAACACATACCCTATGAAAACCCATACCTTTTGGGTTCCATAAAAAGGTATGGGTTATTTCAGAGATGACATAATCCATTGTAGCTCCAGCTTGCGCTAACACAGTAGCTCCACCTGAACGTAATGAATGACCTGAATAAGTTTTATCAAAATGTGGATGGAATCTCTTCAAGAAGCAAGATTGAGTTGCAACGAAGCCTTCAGAAGTAATGAATAACTCCTTTGAACAAATGAAATTGCTATCTCTTGAACAAAGGTATGATTTGATGAGTCAAATAGGACAAGCTGTTGTATTTTTGAAATATTTGATAATGATGGGTGTGCCGATGAATTTTGTATCGCCTTTTGAATACGGTAAATGATACTGAACAAAGCTTTTACACACTGAAAATGAAATTGAGGAACGTAATATAACCTTCCTAGCATCAAATAAACTTTCAGAATCAGGGTTAGTTAGTTCACCTAAACAATGAAGTCCCCCAAAACCTGATCCCAACATAGCTAGAAAGAGTTTGTCGTTGTGAGATGATGTTAGTTTTTTGATGATATCTTCAATTTGACTGATTGCTAAAGCTTTCTTTCTGTTAACCGGTTTTGAAAACTCTTTCATGCAATGCTTCATTGTATCAATCACGTCTTGATGTCTTGATTCACAAATAATGGATGGAAAATCTAATTTAAATATATGAGTTATACCTACTAAATAAGCTTGTACCGATCTTGGAGATATGATTCGACTAGTATACTAAACGTGATCACATAAATTTTTTACATTTGGAATAAATGGTTGATGAAATTGAATACAAAACCTTAAACTTAGCAAAGTCCCACGCTCGCTGTAGAACTTATAACCCAACAAGGGTTATACAGAGCTGGAAGAGGATAATCTACTAATAAAAATGACTAGTAGAAGTTGTCTAAGGACTTCTCTTCTAAAACAAGTCAATCAGAAAGAGAAACTGTTGACTTGAGTACTGATAAGGCACCAGAGAAATATAACTGATTTGATGGGAGAAAAGCACCTGATTTAATTAATCTCAACACAATTTTAGTGTTATTCCAGTCAAGTCAAAAGTAGAAAAATAATCTCAATATCTTTTTGATATTATTCCAGAATGACAGTGTCATATAAAGCACATAAAACAAATTTCTCCTCTGATGAAGGGCTGGTTTGAGTGACCTAGTACTGCTATAATAAATTTATAATGATAAATAAAATTAAAGCTCTGTAAGAGATAAAGAAGAAAGGAAAGATAATTTTGCACAAATTACACAACTTTATGAACACATTGATACAAATTGTTAAAGTGGTAAACAGCTCTTAAAAAAAATCCTCTTTACCATCTGAAAAAACCAAAAGATGACTAAAATGTTGGTAAACAGCTATGATCTAATGATTCAACCACTCTCTACATTCCTAAATTTTGCCATCAGTAGCTCATAAACCCATTATGATCATTACTGTGATGTAATGTGATCTTCTATTCATCATCTGATAAGATTTATTACTAATTTGACCAGTAGAACATGACTAATCTCTATTCTTATGATCAAATGCTGTGTATATGCTGTGTATATGCTGTGTTTTGAATGTTCTAGAATGAATATTGATTTGATCTTATGATGATTCAGCATTTCAATGATGTAATTGCTTGTTATTAATGATTTGTGATCTTGTTGATGTGTAATCAAATCCTTTGATTCCTTATAACTTTTGCCATACGCCTCTGTTACAAATGATTTAAAAATTGTACATTATGAATTGGATGATTCGGCGTCGCATGAACTATTACGCATCATGTTATGACGTCATTTGACACATGTAATCATCTGAAAACCTTCATTTTCGATGATTTTCACCTATTTTCTTCACTTTACACACCTTTTACTAAGCTTTTCTTGTCTTCTGTAACATTACACAGCAATATCTAACCGTGGAAATCCCTAAAAACACTCTTGGCAACCTCATTCATTACTAATACCACTGTTACATATGTAAAACTACCTGTAAACCCTTGTTTACCAATTTCGACTTTTTTCCATTTCCTTAATAACTTCTATTTTATCTTATAGACCATCATGATTAAAGTTGTTACTGAATAACATAATGCTCCTCTTCCATATTCTGACCCTACTAAACCCATAAACCTAATATTAATACCCTAAAAACCATTTCCAACCTGTATACCTCTATTTTCGAGTTTTTCTTATGTTTTTTTTTGTTAATAGTTTATGCTTATCTTATTAAGTTTGTTTAAATAAATTGAGTATGTAAAGATAAAATATTTGTAATATAATTGATGTAATTCAAAATTCGATTTTTTTTGATTGGTCTCATAGATTGATTACCACATCGCGCATCCTTGTGAGACGTCGAGCGAGGGACTTATGCCAAACTCGTAAGTAACGGTTCCCTGGACCCAAGAAAAAAAATGTGCGCTGTTCTTTTCCACACATTGTACATGTTTTTTTCCCAAGGAAGTTGCTCCCCTCCTTCCTCAAAAATCATCTAAAGTTTTTTAAAAACTCTGAGCTGTAACGGGGACTTGGTGTTTATTGACACACAGTGGCCTGAGGGTTTTGGGACTGTTGGCTGGGAGCCCCTTCTTCTGTGCTCTATCTCCTCCATATCCCATTTTTTTTGGGACCAAGAAATGAAAGATGTGCTGATTTGCAGCGCATCTTGTACACAAGTAACCAACTGAGGAACTCTCTTCCTTCCTTTTTGTTTCTTGTGTAAATATTTGATTTTTAATACCTTTTGATGTTGTTTTGAGCAAAAAAAAGACCTCGATCGAAAAAACTGTTGTTGAGAAATGTTGCTTGGATGGAAATTGGAATATTTACACAGGCAAAAAAAAAGAGTGAGGATAGCTCCTCGGTTGGTTTCCTGTGTACAAGATGCGCTGAGAATCAGCGCATCTTTCATTTCTTGGTCCCAAAAATTTTCCTCAGGATATGGAGGAGATAAAGAGGGAAATAGGTGGATCTCACCCAAAAGCCTCAAACCCCTCAGGCCACGATGTGTCGATAAACACTAAGTCCCAGCTGCCAGATGTCTAGAACTTGCTTCCGAAGTCTGGCAGATGACAGGGACTTTGTTAAGTTAGTGATTTGAAATTCATTTCATTTCATGATGTGTGCGTCTTTAAGTTCAAAACGGAGTTTTTTGATCTTTTTCTTTTTTGGTCAATATGTAATCTTTAATGGTTTTTTCGATATTGCTTGAAAAACACCGACTGTATTTTTGAAGCTACTTGAGTTTTTTTTACCATTAGGTTGATAGGGTGAAGAGGTATGGTGAAGTTTGGTACACTTTGTCTTTTGTTCATTTAAACCATTTATTTGACTTCATGTGTGTCCATATCTATACTACCATTTCCGCTTTTTTTCAGCTCTTCTTTAAACCTTTTTGGTGTTGGTTTGTTGGTTTTTGGTTTAAATCCTCACCTCTGTGTACTCTGTGTATGTACGGCTTTCAAAGCACTACAGTCAAAACTCTCTAAAGCCATACCACAAACCTTATAATCCATACCTGTATAAGTTTCTGTAAAAACCTTCTCAAACCATGATTGTTATGGGGTTAGAGGGATAATTATGTGCGCAGCTCAATTCTTGGATGGGATATCAGTTATAGCATTTCACATCTGATCACACAATTGATCATATCCATACCTGTGCTTACAAGGTGTAATGAATTGAATTGAAGAAGTGACCAAAGTCAACAAACTTGAAAACAGGGAATGTGATTTTTTGAGATGGAATGTTTTAACTGAACAAGAATCCCCCTGCAAAGAAATCCTTACCCCTCAGGCCAAATTGCTGAGTTTAGATGTAAGTCCCTCCGGTGAAGACATCCTGATTCAACTTGTTGATTGACAGGTGTCGAGCCTCAGAGGGACTTAGTTAAGTTAGCTAAGTCCCTGCTGCCAGATGTCTAGGACTTGCTTCCAAAGTCTGGCAGATGACAGGGACTTTGTTGAGTTAGTTAAAATCACTGAGAAAGAAAGAGAGACAGAGAGCACCGCGGAACTGTGTATTGTTTAACTACAAGTCAAATTGAGGGAGTAAGTTAAAGCAACCCTTAGTCAAATACCCGTGTTCTCAGCTGCTCTCCAATATCACTTGAGATTTGGCCCCATACAGGCCCATACTTCACCAAGAAATGTTTCAAAAATCAAGACCCCAAATCGGCTCAATCCCGTCTAAGAAGCACTACGGTACCACAGGCTGTGACCTAATCATGGCTCAAGGTGCGTTCACCCAAGTTCACTGTTCAGCTCTTCCAATACCCCTTCCCCCTTCAAGTTCTCCTATTTCATTGTTGAACTCTCAAATACTACACCTCACCAATATGGGACACAGGAATAAACCAAAAAACTTTCTAGGTGATATGGGTTTCAGGTCAAAACGGAAACAAAAAGCTGCTACCCCCCCTAGGATTACTCGTCAAAAAGCTCAATCAATCTCCGCTTCTCTCGGCATCACCACTAATCCTATTCCAGCTTCAAATGAAAATCCCGACAAATCACCAGATGAACTCGATTTAAATAACTTTATACCTTTCCCTGACAAACCAGAAGCTCCTGCTTCTCAGATCCCTGATGCCGCCCATGTTTTTGCTCAAGAAAGTTGTGGTTGGTGGAATGCAGAGGCTTGAAGAAATCTCAAACTTCACTGGAAAGCAATTGAATTTCAGATGACTGCTACATACCTTGAACTTCAATACAAAACAAAAAACTGGACTTCTCAAGTCTCATACCTTGATGTGGACATCAACTGGCAATGCTTGAATTCTAAACTCACGATCCAAGCAGTTGACCTTATTGATGTCTTAGGACTTCATAGCAAGCATCAAATCCTCTTCTGTGAGTGTATGCCCAAGCCTGTACAACTTTTACACTTTGGATATATCGCAAGCTTGCCTCAAACTCCACGGACAGCATTCTCAGTACGGCTCCTTCAATTTCACCATCAACTTTGGAGTACAACAGTGATTTCAAGTACTGGATTCATCAATGGATTGACATCGTCTCTCAATCTACAAAGCCAAACTAACTTGAAACCTCAATCTTATTGATACAGATCACTCATCCATGAACGTGATCTCCAAAGGCAATTCTCTGATTTGGTCAACATGTATCAAACCATCTTGCTCTGTGTGAAGAAAAATTATAAGGAAGGCCTCAAGCTTTCAAATGCTCAATTATTAGCTGATTGCTGTGCCCGATGTTTTGGTCCAACAATCCATGAACAATGTTCAGCTGAAGAACCACATGTTATTGTTTCTTTAGATGGAAATTTTCAACATAGGCACTACACCAAATCAAGTGAAGATAATCCCACCAAAGACAAGTATCCGTAGGTATTCATCAAACCCTCTCTTATGACAAAGCACGAAATTCATCAAAAATCAACCAAAGCCCAAGCCAAGGACATCGAGGTATGTTTCATACAACTCCACCTTACATCAGAACTTATGGCTAACTCGATTTTGATTTAGAATCCGTGCTCTGACTCTCACACCGCAGCAAACAATGTGAGGAACTCGACCTCATGGAAAAGAAGTGATTATACCAGTCTGTTTGGATGTACTTGCCGACACAATGTGCCCTTGAAGTTAGCCAATATCTAAGAAACGGGTGAAAAGTAAGTGATGTATCTTAATCTTAACTTGAGATATTCCAATACCTCAACGTTGATGTCCGATACTTGTTGACAGGCTTTATTATCCGTTGAGTATTCCTGAGCAATTGTTGGCGGATCTGCCAGATATCAAGGTAGCAGTTCTATATGACATTGGTTGTCAGCTTGAAGCGCATATAAAAAAGGCAAGTAGGTTTATACTGTACCAAACTTTCAATCTTAATACTAATCTCATGTTATCATTTCAAAGAGAAACTTCTTTGAGGGTATTGCAGATTGACTCAAATTTGGGACTTCCGTTTTTCACGCTTACGTACATAACTGGGCATGTCAAGTACTCTACAACACATGCTCCAATGCTTTTTGGGGATTGTCAGATGGTGAAGGACTCAAGCGGTTCTGGTCATTTTTATCATTACTGGTGGCGGTGAATGGTGTATTGACTCAACTTCATCGGCTCCTCAACATAAATTGGCGGGCAGACTTTTTTATGGAAATCAATTTGAAATCAACAGGTATGCAGATTTGAGTGTGATTGATTAACTGGATCAATCACACTGATTGTGATTTGATCTAGGTGACTGGCTTTTAGGCCAACTACGTAATGCTCATACTATATTACATGACACTCAGAGTTCCCTTTTGAAATTATCCAAAGAGAGAAGCTCGTTATTCCCCACCATACACTGTACTTACAAGTTTCTGTGAGGTCAATGGATTGTTGAGCGCAACTCTCACAACAAGAGATGCCATATACAAGAAGAGCAAAAAATTGAACTTGGTCAATTACTATGCTTAGAAGAGATGGCTCAAGAAATTTGGTAAAATATGTTAAATTATTTTTAAAGATTCAAACAAAGCAATCTTACCTTTCAATGGATGATTTTAAGGGATTGAGATGCGGCTGATGTCAATGAAGCGATTTCAAGGCTCAATGAACACGCTACAATCAAGAAGAAGATTGAAAAACAACGTTCAAAGATAGGCTCTGAAGCTATTTTGAACAATCTCAATGGTAATACCTTTTTGTCTATCTCAGACCGCAAGTTATTACTATTCTGACCTGCATTCTTTGGGCCTGCAGCACAATAACAAGATCAGATATTGAAAATATGGTATGCAAAGCAGGAAGTTTGTAATCAGTTTGTTGCTATTTGTGAGCAGAAACGCCCACTGGATGTTAGCCGACACAATGGGAATAATTCGAGCATTGATAAGTGATTTACTTTTGTATTATTCCCCTTTCCAGCTAATCCTTTTGGTTTCACGCATGCACAGGTTACAACAACAAGACTCACCTACTTAAGTCACTCCGCGACCAGGCTGTGAAGTTGAAGACTAAACTCGAGATCTATCAGAAGCTGGTAGCATCATATTTCACCACTTCTCCACATTGATCCCAGCCGGCAAGCATCTCCTACCCTGACCTTCTCAAAATCGACTTTGATCACTCTTTCTGGACCAATGGACTCTTTACCAACAGCTGCAACCCTTGGGCAGTCAATTCTAACACACAGTACGGAATGCGCCAGGTCGCATACTATGATCGAGCCAACGAAGAGATCCGCCAAATAGGGTGGGAAGTTAGAAGAGTGATGTGATGGTCAATCAATTTGCATGTGTCTTTATCAACTCATCTTTGTCGCCTTCAGGAACACAGTACTCCTGACCAAGATCCTCTAGTTGTCTCATAATTTTCTTGATTAAAAGCAAGTGATCAATTCCAATCAAGTAATCAATTCCAAAGGATTGTTCACTATAATAAGAGGAGATAACAAAAAGATGAGAAAATTTCAACAGAAAATCAGTCGCGCATGCATACAAACCACATCACATCTATACAATTTCAAACTCGAGCATCTTGAAGAAGCAAGATGAGAACTTGATGGCATTAATGATATTCAAGATCAATCAGTCTCTAATCCACTCAAAAAGTTTACATCCACATTGGTCATAGATTTGATGTAATAAAGCTTGTTGGAACATCTTGCATGATTGGGGATAGAGTTGATATAACAATGCTTGTTGGAATGTCTTGATTGAGGTGTTGATTGCAGGAAACAAGAGCGGTGACAAAGGTGACGAATGTCCCTGCTGCCTGATTTCAATTTTCAAATGACTCCAGAGACAGTTGCGGCGCGGTGCTGCGCGCGCAGCTAAAAAAAATAAAAAGAAATGGTCCCAAGGTGTCAACCTTTCTAGCAAAGGTAATACCATTATATTTCATAGAACACACAATCCCCTAAAGGATCATCTTATAAACCTGTGATAGGTTCTGAACTCTTGTTCATTTATGACTTTTTTTTTATCATTATCCGGTCTCAAACCAAACCTGGTTGGCAAAAAACCCGGTACAACAATAAGACATTTACCACAAGAAAAGTTCTCTTAGTATCTGCAAAAAGAACGATTTCCGGACGCTTTAGCTTTTCAGCTTTCTCAAAGAACTAGAAAATGCATTGAATGGACATTGATTTTTGAATATGCATTCAAGGAGCATGAAACGCGAATTTGAGCTTGGAATAATTATGCACTTTTCAGATAAAAGTCAACTTTTGATAGAGGTGAACAAGTGTTTGAGGGCCTTCTCAAATTGATGAACGCACCATGGAACTGTGTATTGTTTGACTACAAGTCGAATCGAGGGAGTAAGTTAAAGCGACTCTTAGTTGAATACCCGTGTTCTCAGCTGCTCTCAGATCCTGTGGTACCGTAGGGCTTCTTAGACGGGATTGAGCCGATTTGGGGTCTTGATTTTTGAAACATTTCTTGGTGAAGTATGGGCCTGTATGGGGCCAAATCTCAAGTGATATTGGAGAGCAGCTGAGAACACGGGTATTTGAGTCAAATAAATTTCGACTAAGAGTTGCTTTAACTTACTCCCTCGATTTGACTTGTAGTCAAACAATACACAGTTTCGCGGTGGGTGCTGCATCACGTGGTGGGTGTGGCGTGAAAAGTGCGCCCTTGGGGAGCGCCCGCTCAGGCTGAATCTGGGGGTGGCGCGCCCTAGCAACATAAGTAGGCTATAATGGGTCTCGTAAAGAAAGGTGGCTTCCTACAAGCCACCTCAAGACTTCCTGCTTCACTCCATCTGAAAGCCAAATTTAAACTTTACACGCATACATCATCAAGATATGCCTAAAGTCAACAAGAAAGAAAAACCCAACTGGGTTCCACCAACTTCTGTGTTTGGTAAGTGATGGACCGGATTCCACATGTCAAATGATCAGGACAGCTCCAAACACCGTCGCCTTGCCCAATGCCAACACTGCCAGGAGGAGATGGATGGAAAACCAAGCAAATTGGCCAAGCATATCATAAATGAATGTAAATCAATCTCAGTCTCACAAAAATCTGAATAAAAACAGTTGATGATCTCCGAGGATAATGCGGCAAACGGTGTTTCTACTCTACCACACTCTATCTCTGCAACTGCTACGAAGGAAGTCGCCCTCGTTCCAGATGATAAAATTGTCCACAACTTTGGTATAAAGAAATTCTTCATGCCCTATTCATCTGATAAGATTGCTAAGCTCGATGAAGAGATTCTCAAAGCCCTCATCACAAGCAAAGTAGCGTTTAGATTTCTTCATAACAGGTATTTCATGAATTATCAACAAATGTTAGCTGTCTGTCCATTCAAGCCGCCAACCCGATATTATTTGATGGAAAAAACTCTCCCTCTTTTACATGCTAAACACAAAATTGTGGTTGAGGAAAAATTAAAGACTCAATCGAACTTAACAATCTCATTAGATGGCTGGACCGACGTATCTAAGAACAGTATATACGCAGTTCTTGTTTTACGTGGCACTGAACTCAAGCACTTCATTGATGTACTGGACCTTAATCAACTTTGTCATACAGCAGAAAATATGTTTGATGCATTGAAGGACACTCTTAAATCTCAAGGCCTTCAATGGGATCAGATCAGTGCTGTAGTCTTTGATTCTCCCTCTGTGATGGTCAAGTTTCGTGTAAGTAGTCCAGTACAACCTCATCCTGAGTTCCTAAAAATCTGTTGACATTTTTCTATGTTTCAAATCCTACCAGAAAATTGTTTCTCAAGAGTTTCCGGCCATTTCCACATTACCTTGCTGTTTACATGTGCTCAACTTGATTACCAAAGATATCTTGGCTCATCCAACAATGAAAGAAGTAGTATCAAACAATAAAGAACTTGTCAATTTCTTTACTAAAGCGCATTACTGGATGAGCTTCTTGGAGAGTTGGCGGCAAAAAGAAGGCATCTCACATGGACTTAAAACGTTCACCGAGACCCAATGGTTTTCCTTTGCTAAATTTTGCTTGGGTGTTCAATCACACAAGCTGGGGTTTGATAAATGTGTCAAAACCGCTGAAGATCGATCGATTGACAGTCCTGCCATCAAGAAAAACATCTGCAAACTCGTCGTCAATCAACATCACTTTGCTTTGAACAATGTGTTGGTGCAAGTACTACAACCAGTTGTTGATGCCATTGTGGCCCTAGAGCATGCCAATACTACAGTTGGTGAGGTGTGGAAAGAGGTCATCAATATTTATATAAAGCTCAAGGAGATGTGTGTTGGGATTGGATACTCACCTTTCCTATCTCATTGCATTGCTACCATCAACAAACAAATCCAGGTTTTCAAAGAACCAGCCTATATTGTTGGCTTGTTTCTTACACCCATCTGTTGCAAAATCACTGCATCTCGCAAGTTTGATCTTGAATACATGACTCGCCAAATTGTCAAGATTGCTAAGAAATGGAGATACAGCAAAAACAAATGCAAGAATTTGCTCGACCAGGTCTTACGCTACTACAACTCAGAGGGCCCATTATGAATGGCGTCTAAATGTGAGGCTCTTTACTTTACATGACTTAGGTGATTGAATTAAGACTGATGATGATCGCTCTGCAGCATCATCGGCAATAGACTGCTGGTTAAGAATACCCAATACTCCAAACACCCATGATCTCAAGACTTTTGCTGTCAAGCTCTTGAGATCATAGCTCACGCTGCTGGGGTTGAAAGTTTGTTTCCTGGGATGTCCGCTCAGAAAACAAAGTCACGCCCGCGTATGAATGTCACCACACTGAAGATGATGTCTCAGATTGATCTGAATCTGCAATCTGAGAACCCGAAACAACTCCCTGATTCTTCATTGAAAAACACACCTGTTAACAAACCCGATAAGGATCTCAATGTCCTAAATGTACAGTTTGAAAATTTAGATCAACTTCAAGAATTTGAGGATGGTATTCATTTTGAAGACAATGAAGACCCCAATAATACTCAATTAGATGAATTAGAATTTATTTAAAAATGAAAAAGATATGGATCATGAAGGTGATATGAATATGGTTAATGTATCTGATTCTTCTCCTGAAGATGAGGATTGGGACAAAGATGATTTGTTTGTTTGATTAACCTGTATCTACAGTATAGGAATTAATTGAGAGTCGCGTAGCGACGTCTTCATCATGGCAGGACGCGTATCTTCTTATACGCATTATAGATCATCTTTCTTTCTAACATCATGACGCGACAAGTTGTTTTCGATGAATCAGTTATATAGACAATTCTTTTCTCAATCATTGTCTTTCCTTTTTCTTCATCGAACTCAATTATTGTTTTCCGCAATCTCTTCCTTCTTAGATTGTGGTTTTCTCTCGATCATCCATCAGTCCTTTTCCAAGTGACTGAAGTCTGATCTTGTTCTTATCAGGTGTTAGTAATAGTTATTGTCTAATTTAGTTCTCTCATGAAATCGAACTCAATTATTGTTTTCCGAAATCTCTTCCTTCTTAGATTGTGGTTTTCTCTCGATCATCCATCAGTCCTTTTCCAAGTGACTGAAGTCTGATCTCGTTCTTATCAGAACCGAATCCCACACCTGATTCTCTTTGAATTTACTACTGACAAACAAAATAAAAGACTATACTATCAACTTTTTGGGAAAAAAAAAAATTTAACCCAAAAGGCGCGCCTCCACGCCCCCACTAAGGGTGCGCGCCTTGAAAATTAAAAAGGCGCGCTCTGGCGCGCCCCAAAACAAAAACCCACGCCCCCCACGTGAGTGCTGCAGCCTCAGGATTTGGTTCCACTACAATTAGTGGTACGGGTGATATGTAAAAGGGATACAACCTATGATTGGGACGGATCTGGAAAGGTCCATCCTCATGATCAAGAAACTGTCCAAGAAACAAGAGAAAATGAAAAGCATACATAGAAAAGTGGATAAGCACTGAAAAGCGCATGTAGAGAAAACAAGGGGAAAGTCTAAGTTTGGGAACCACAGGCCTTGATCTTGGACGTACGTATGTATCTGGTACTTCTCGTCATGAAACCTCAACACTTCCAACACCCTCTCGAAAAAGAGCTCAAGTCCCGCATTTATGTAAGGGCGATAAGGTATGACGATAAGGTATGATTTCAGATCTCAAGATTTATAAAGTTAAGTCGGGAAACCCTAGAAAGGTCCATCCTCATGAACAAGAAAACTGTCCAAGAAACAAGAGAAAATGTACAGACAAAAAAAAGCAAAACTCTAAATTTAGGAACCGCCGGCCTTGATCTTGGACGTACAGTAGCTAAAGGCTACTCTGTGCTACCCCTTGATTCGGGTGGCCCCGGGGCCGGGACCGGTCCCAAATGTTGGGACTTCCCAAAAAAAATTATTGGGTTAGGGGTTAGGGGTTAGGGGTGCAGTTTTTGCTGAGATGTATGTAATGTAGCCCGGTCAGAACATGTTTTCTCAAGGTTTTGTGTAGAAAGAACACCCTCAGCAACCACTTTGAGCTATAATACAAGAAAAAAATCACTTCACATAGAAAAAAATCTCACTTGGCAGACAAATCCAAGCCTTTCCAATTCTCTTCAAAGCTACTGAAACCATCATCCTCTGAGCTCATCAACACTCCAATGGCAATTTCAAGACGCAAAAAAGCTCAACAATCACGCCGAGCAAATGAAGCTGAAAGACTTAGAATTGACAATGAAATTGTGTTATTTATTGAAAATCAAATAGCGGACTCTGAAGATGAAAATGAATGTGGTGATGAACTCAATCAGGAACTCTTTCCAGTCTTTCTCACTCGTGACACGTCCAGAACAGCCATTGGAAAGCGCAAGAACAAATTTGGGAACGTCAAGAATTACAAGAAGCCAATTCCTCATCCAAACCCCACCATCAAGCGCCTAATCTCTAAACCCGTTCCCAAACAAACTGAGCATAATCGTCGAAGGAAGGCACACGAAGCGGTTGGCAAAAACATTGGCTTTATGGATAACTGGGTTGTAAAAGAGTCTCATACTATCACATCTGAAGAATCAGTAGCAACCCCCGATGCCAATCCAGGATCAAATTCTCTCATCGAGTTGCAACTTGAATCAGACGACTGCAGCGATGTCACAGACCATGCATCTGATCATACTGAAGATTTTCCGGACAAGCTAGAGACCACCGACACAATCCATGAAGTTGATTCGGAGTACAACGAGTGGATAGCTTCATCAGTACAGCAAGTTCAAGTGAATCGAGAGGTGAAGCAAGCTTCCAAGAAAGTGTCGGTGGATCAACACTTGAAATCCATTGAGGATGAATGGACTACACTCGACCTCAAGATACAAAGAGCAAAAATCAAATACAAGGCAGAACACAGCAAAGACCCAAAGCGGGACATCCCTCACCTAGTCTTGGACGAGCTCAGGGAGTTTAATTACCGTCGCAGAGAGCTTTCTTTGGCAAATTCCAAATCGCCGACCATTCAGGCTTCAGTACTTGCAGCACAAGCTTCTCTTCGTCAACTTCCCAGCAATCACATGAACTTCTCTTCGGGTGTGGGGAGAGCAAGAAAGATCCGAGCGCAAGCTAAACACCTGCTTGACTTTGGATTGGTGATCTTCTCACAATCAGGCTTCGGGTCCAGACATCCTTCGATGTTGGACAACTACGCACTTGCTAGTGCGATAACCACTTGGTCTTCTTTGAAGAAACCTGGCAAGGTGAGTTAATTTGATTGAGACCGTTGTAGTGTTTAAGATGATCTTATCGATTCAATCTTGGAGTTTTTACTGATTTTCTGATACTTTCTCTGGTCAAGGTCACTCCACGTCGGTTCTGGGACTACGTCAATAGCACAGCTCTACCAATCACTAATCCAGGTAGATCGATCTCATTGGTAACAAGCTATCGCTGGATGCATCGCCTCGGGTATCGGCCTCAGGAGTATTGGAAATCCATATATTTCGATGGCCACGAACGTCCAGATGTAGTCGAAAGTCGAACTCGATTCTTGGCCGAGTTTGCTGAGCTACGAAAGCGATCTCGGATGTACTTTGGAGATAATCTCGAATACTCTGCTCGGGTTGACCCTGGGATCCTTGGAGACAACCGCGAGACCGTCTTTGTTTATCATGACGAGTCCACCGTTCATGCCAAAGAGCGCCCTCGATTGTCATGGCTTCTACCTGGAACGACTGAATTTCGATCCAAAGACTCAGGCCGGCTCATCCACATCTCAGATTTCATTGTCGAGACTACTGGTCGGCTGACCGTTAATCGGGATCGTGTTAATGATTTGATATCCGAAGGCTATCAACCAGTACTTCCAAGTGTTAGTGATGCAGCAGTGGTCATACATCCCGGAGCCAACGGTGATCCATGGTGGGATATGAAGCAGTTGATATCTCAAATCAAAACACGGGCTCTGCCAATTTTCGAAGCGATGCATCCTGACTGTCAGGGAGTCTTTGTCTTCGACTGCTCTTCAGCTCACGAAGCATATGGACCGACTGCATTACGTGTACAACCCATGAATCTATCCTCTGGTGGGAAGCAACCCCACCTTTGAGCTACCATAATTCCATCCAATGATCCTAATATCCCTATCGAGCTTCAAGGACAAACACAGCTAATGGTTTTCCCACTTGATCACCACATTCCTGAACTTCGTGGTCAACCCAAGGGTATCAAAGTGGTCTTGCAGGAACGTGGCCTTTGGGATTATCACGAAAATCGGGTCTCTTCTTTGAATAAACCAGCCCTCCTTGGCAAGTGTGCTGGCTGCAAAGCATCGGCAGTTAGCCAAGATGCTAAGAAAGCATCTGTTCGCCAAATTCAGGAAGCAGAAGCTCGTGGTTTTTTTGTGTCTGAGCGTGAATGTGGTGTAAAACCATGGTTGGATTGCAAAAGTAGTGATTGCTGCTGGTTCAGAATTCTCAGCTTACAGTCAGATTTCATGAATGAAAAGCCTCTTCTCCAGATGGTGATTGAAGAGGCTGGTCACATCTGTTTATTTTTACCAAAATTTCACTGTGATCTCAATCCAATCGAGCTGTTTTGGTCTTATATCAAGGATCGTGAGTCCTCTTTCAAATTTGATTGTTTTGATGTGTGAAAATAATGCTAAGTAAAAACTATCCCACCAGAGTTCCGCCAGTCTTCACTCATGTGCAAAACTTTCAAGGATGCAAAAGATTTGTTTGAGAAAGTTCGTAAAACATGTCCGCTAGACACTATACGTAAATATTTTCGTAAGATTGATCGACAGCATTCTGTGTATCAGTAAGTTATGTTTCCTTTTGTGGCCTTTCTTTTCTGTGTCTTACTTGTGAATATCTCTATGTAGGCTTGGTCTTACTGGTGCTGCGGCTGAGAAGATGGCCAAGCGTTACCGAGGACACCGCACAATTCCCAAGAAGGCCTTCCTGGATGTTAATGCACTCTGTAACTGAACTTTTCAGCCTCAAAGAACACAGATGTGGTGGTGGTATCTGCTCATTGCTCAAAAGCCCTTGAAATCAAAGCTCAACAAAAATTGAAGTTTTAAGTAGTATTCATCACTTCTTTTTTCCTTGAATGCCTTTCCAAAAAAACTTCTGTCTCTTTTTTTCTTCACTGTCTTTTCTGTTGAAACCTGTTCTTTTTTTCATGACTGTCCTTTCTGGAAAAGATTTATAACACTGTTGTTCTTATTGCTTGCCTGTCTTCACAGTGAAGAGGTGAGATACAATTTTACAATGGGTTCTGTGAAGATGGATACCTAGATGTGGTGATTGGCTACCTAACCCCTAACCCTAGTACCTTTTAATGTGTGGATACCTGAGATTTTTGACTATAAACATATGGGCTTGAGACACTGGAAATGTGTCCCTGGGACCATAACCATAACCCTAACCCCTAACCCCTAACTTTTAGCTTTCAAATATAGCCGGGTCCCAAATGTTGACCATATCAAAAAAAAAAAAAAAAAAGCTTCAGATCATCCTCAGAAGATATGGACAGATTAAGCTCCTTCTTCTGATTCCACCTATCTACTTGTCTCCTTGAAATGTTAAGATTGTGATACCTATTTGTGAGCTCAAAAACAAAATTTTGGTTTGCAGTTACGTAGTACAGAGTAGCCTTTAGCTACTGTACGTATGTATCTGGTACTTCTCGTCATGAAACCTCAACACTTCCAACACCCTCTCGAAGAAGAGCTCAAGTCCCGCATTCATGTACGCGTGATAAGGTATGATTTCAGATCTCAAGATTTTGTAAAGTTAAGTCGGGAAACCAGAGCCCAGATTAAGTACGTTCCCAGGATCCACCTCGAACGTTCTCTTTATGTCATACACATACCCAAAGTGAAGATTGTAAATGCATCATGAGGTAACGTTTAGTCATTGATCCACGATAGAAACTTTATTTTGTAAAGATACTGATTGCCAAGGATTGCCATAGATCATGGAAAAGGAGAATTGGTGTGCATTTAGAAAAATTACACATCTCCTGCAGAGTTCCTGCAGAGCTCATAATGCCATTATTCAAAAGTTAAATTAATAAGTATACATTATTTCTGTCAGAATCCTACCCGCTGTAAGGTTAGATGATCAGTTTTTATTATTTAAAGATTGTTTGGATGCGAAACTTTGAAAGACATCTGCATAAATGTAAAAGAACTTTTAGAGAGAAAAAAAGATTGTGAGATTTGGAAAGAACCGCGTAGGACACGTACAAGACGTTCTGACGAGTTTAAATAAGATTGATTAGAGACTTTAGATCAGAGAGTTCTTTGCAGGCTGAAGAAATGAGAAAGTGATTGCAAATCAGATTATATCGTCAACTCACTACTCAAAAGCGTTTCCTCGCGTACTTGAATTTGATTGTTATATTGCTCCTCATTTGGTGATAGTCACTGATCCTGATCACAGTATATACTCCATCGCACAGTTGACTTGATTCTCTCTGGTCTGATACTTAATCGAATCCTCGAATTGCTCACTTCTATTCATCATTCTCTTTAAAAAAAATAGAAACAAACTCCATCGTTTTCATCGACTTTGTACAATTCAAGAAACCAACTTACACATCAAGATGTACGATACTTTCACTTCAGATCACTTGACAACAATCTTGATTAGCTGTCTAATAATTTATTTAGCATTAGTCAAATACCTAAGATTTCAACATCGAGATCAACTATTAAAAAACTTTTCACACTTAAATTCTGCATCGAAATTAAAAGATATGACATATGAAGAATCAAGAGAGATTTCAAGGGTTTTAATCGAATTAAATTGTCCATATATTTCTCATACATCACTTTCACTTGCTTTATTTCAAACCTATTCCGTTCCAAGTATCTCTAAATTGTCAAACAAGACCGGACGACTGAATTTACCTTCTTGTGTGGGTAAGAGAGCAGAAGATACCGTCTGTTTGTTAGCCGAATTACAAACCTTTGGATTATTCAGTCAAAGAGGTTCTCTAGCCATCTCAAGGATCAATTTCTTACATTCGATCTATTCTACTTCGATCTCTCCAGATGATTTATTGTTTACATTAAGTTTATTTATTTTCGAACCACTTAGATTGATTGATCAATTCGAATGGAGAACTTCAACTGAGCTCGAAAAGTATTCTAGATTTGTTTTATGGTCTCATATAGGTCAAAAGATGGGAATCAAACATTTACCTAGTACTCCTGAAGATTTATTAAATTGGTTAAAAGTTTATAAAACAAAAGCTGTGGTATTTGATCCATCAAATGTTAAATTGGGTGAAGCTACTATCAACTTATTTGCTAGACCTTATCCTAAATTCCTAAAACCGTTCCTAAGAAAATCAATTATATATTTTTTACCTGATGATATACGTGAAGCATTTGGTTGGTCAAATGAGATTCCTTTATATATATCTAGATTGATTCCAATTATCTTTAAGATCAGATCGTTTTTACTATTACATTTCACTTTACCTCGTCAAGCTTCATTTGATTTCGGTTTAAGAGATCCTAGCTTAGAAAACGCATCGATGGATGATGAAACTACATTTTATCAACGTTCGAATTGGTTATTTGAACCTTGGTATGTGAAGAAAACCTTTTGGAATCAGTTTTGGTCGGTTTTTGGATTCAGTGTTCCTTCGAATGAATTCCAACAAGAAGGTTATGAGATCCATCAACTGGGTCCTAGAGAGTTTGCTAAACTTGGTCATTCTTGGGTTCATGGTCAAGCTAAAGATATTCGGGAATCTGATCCTGAAAAACATACTTCATAATCGTCGTCTCGTTAGTATTTCTTTCTCTAGCTCTCCTAGTATTGCACCAAACTGAGATATTTGGATTGTGCGCTCAGCATTCAGGTTCATTTCGCAACAGGTCTTGTTTATCTTCTATGTACTCGGTGCAATTCATAGTTCTTGTTCTTATTCAGAATCGAAACAAAGCAAATAAAACATTATAGAATTCCTCTGTTCTTCTGGTTTGAGTTTTATTATACTATCATTGTATTCATATCAAATCAAAAGATATACTTAAAAAAAGGATTGAACCAAATATCCTTCAGCTTGTAATTCAATAAGATGAATCAACATCTTCTACTTCTGTGAAGTTGAGTTCTGTGGAGTTCTTAATACTCTAAAACTCTGTTCTCAGTCTTATTTTCTCGAGGATTAGCGGTACACAAACGTGAAAACCCAACCTAAAAACCCGTGGACAAAACCCATGACAACCCGATGGTTTTTTGGGTTTTGTCCAACGGGGAAGCGGGAAACCAATGGACAAATACGGTGGCCGAGGAGCGCCAAATGCGCCAAAACCTCAAAATGAAAAAATCACACTTGAAACTCACCCTGAAAGCCCCGCCAAGCGTATCCCAACCCCAGTCCGTGGCGCCGGGGTCATCACTCCAGGAGTCCAGATGGCAGCCAGCCTCAGCCAGCTCGATGTAAATCGACTTCATCATTTCTTAAGATCAATCATGTCTGCCACCAAGGTTACTTTGAAAGCACTGGGTCAGTACTTGAAGAAATGAAGAAACATCATTATCTTGAATAAGCCTGTTACAATGAATACAATAAGAAATATCATGATGCTTGTAAAAATTTGATTGTTCCTTCGGATTAGTCAAAGCTGCCACAAATGTTGCTTTTGAATCATTGTACTTACTATCCTAGTGTAATTCCAAAAAAATGTTTTGATTAACTGATCACTCAATGAATCAAATGGTCAAGAGGCTTGTGAAAATCATACTCTGATAATGACAACTGAAGTAGATCATGATTGGACTAATTACAAGTATTTTACAAAAGTTGATAACAATTCCTTCACTGGTATCTGGAAAGTAAAAATTGGCAAGGACTGACATTTATAACATGATTGATCTTCAAACAGATGTGAAAGGAAAGATTTTTGAAAAAAATCGACAGGATTTAAGAGGAGGTTCTGGTCCGGTGCCACGGACTGGGGTCGGGATATGCTCGGCGGGGCTTTCAGGGCGAGTTTCAAGTGTGATTTTTTCATTTTGAGGTTTTGGCGCATTTGGCGCTCCTTGGCCACCGTAGACAAAACCCCAAAAACAATCGGGTTGTCATGGATTTTCTCCATGGGTTTTTAGGTTGGGTGGTCAAGTTTGTGTACTGCTATTGAGTAGAATATCCGGTCTCAAAGCAAACCCGGTACACCCAGTTGCTTTTTGGGTGGTAACTTTGTGTATTGAATTGAAATTTTTGACACCTCCCAGCCCAAAAGACAACCAGGTGTACCGGGTTTTCTGCCAACCGGGTTTGGTTTGAGACCAGCTAATGATAAAAAGAAGTGAAAAATGAACAAGAGTTCAGAACCTTTCACAGGTTTATAAGATGATCATTGAGGGAATTGTGTGTTCTATGAAATATGATGGTATTACCTTTGCTAGAAAGGTTGACACCTTGGGTCCGTTTATTTTTATTCATTTTTAGCTGCGCACGCAGCACTGCGCCACAACTGTCTCCGGATTCATTTGAAAATTGAAATCAGGCAACAGGGACATTCGTCACCTTTGTCACCCCTCTTGTTCCCTCCAATCAACACCTCGATCAAGACATTCCAACAAGCATTATTATATCAACTCTATCCCCAATGATGCAAGACGTTCCAACAAGCATTATTACATCAAATCTATGGCCAATGTGGATGTAAACCTTTTGAGTGGATTAGAGACTGATTGATCTTGAATATCATCAATACCATCAATTTCTCATCTTGCTTCTTCAAGATGCTCGAGTTTGAAATTGTATAGATGTGATGTGGTTTGTATGCATGAGCAACTGATTTTCTGTCAAAATTTTCTCATCTTTTTGTTATCTCCTCTTATTATAGTGAACAATCCTTTGGAATTGATTACTTGATTGGAATTGATCACTTGCTTTTAATGAAGAAAATTATGAGACAACTCAAGACAATTTGGAAGTAAGATAGGAGGGGAAATAGACTTTATCTTGCCTTGTTCTTTGTTAGAAGGATACAAAAATTTCATTGTTCTTTACAAAAATTCTTGAATCTGGGTTCCTTGAAAGAACAATTCAAAAACATCTTTCTTGGTTCCAAAATGCAACAATTCAAAACAACAACATTTGTTCCAATTCACCCACTAGGTCTTTTTGAACATGTCTAATAAAAGCCAGGTAAATTTGAAGCTTCAGTTGAATGGTGGTGATTGAGGTGTTGAATTGTTGAGTGGAGGAAACCAAAGCGGTAACAAATGTCCCTGTTGCCCGATTTTGAATGAACCAGGAGGCAGTTGCTGCACGGTGCTGCACGCGCAGCTAAAAAATAAAAATGAACGGACCCAAGGTGTCAACCTTTCTAGCAAAGGTAATAAACATATATTTCTTGAAAATGGTAAGAGCATCTGCACTCGTTTGCGGTTGTTAACTTGGTCATGTGCAGTAACAACCTCTACATTAAGTCAAAAATTACTTAATGTGACCAAATTTCACACTCGTGCCAAAATTACCTGCACAGTAGTTAACTAACTCAAGAGGTAATTTGAGTTTCCACACTGATGCAGAGTTTACAGACTCAAAATATACCAAACAACGAGATCAATCAACTTTTCAATCAATCAGTGCGTTCCAAGCAATCCCTGCCAGGGAAGAAGAGCTTTGGGGCAGGTTTGTTTGAGAGTAACTTGAGATCTCATCACCGCTGGATGGTTGGCACAGAGAGGTTTGTAGACAAGCATCAAATAAAAATTCATTCCATCATAAATTAAAAGTGATCATGGTGAAGGCCATTGAGAATTTGAAAAGAAATGCAGATAATGAAGACCCTTTTGCATAGTTCCCCTCTACAGTTGAATGTGATATTTATTTTTCAAATCCTTTTGAAGTCAATCCAAACAACAAGAAACATTCAAAACCTTCTAAAATCAAAAGAAACAATAAGAAATTGATCCAATTTGATCTAAAACCCTTTTAAAATCAATCCACAGGATATGAATTTGATATTGATCAATCTAAAATCTCATTAAACATATATATAATCACATGTAAAGTAGAACAATCTTAATCAATGTTGGATAAAGAGATTCATACAGTAAGAAACCAGACATACCCATTAGTTTGATGAATTAGAAGACAGTTGGGTCTCCATTGATTCTTGAGTCAGGTGTTTTGAGTTGAGAGGAATCAAGAGGAGTTGAGTCGGAGTTGAGTCGAGTTGGCAAGTTGGCACGTCGGTGTGCTTGAGAAGTGAAGAGGGGGCTGGCAATTTGGCTACTGCATGTGTTAGCCAATTGGTTAATTTACCAATTTGCTAACACAAATCAATCAAAAATTAACTACCACAGCGCTAATTTCTCACCAGTGTGGCACTACGCCAGATTGCAAATTTACCGCCAAGTTTAGAAAATTAAAAAGACATAGAAAATTATACACAAGGCAGAACGGGCCAAAAAAATATGGAAAAATATGGGTTGCATTCCCCTGTGTGTGCCCATCATTTTGCATATTTTGAAAGATTTTTACGTCAGCAGTGTATATCAGGTCAGAAACTCAGTTTATGTCCAAAACTGGCAGTCATGGAGGCATTAACCTTGCGAGACCAATAAAATTGTCAATTTTGTGTCAACATCTGGAATGTCAGCCCATTCTGAAATCTGCATGTTTAACTTACCAGATACACATTAGAATGAGTGGTGTGTGTCCAAAAATGAAGAAGGTACAGCAATCACCATCCCCAACAGTAAAGCTAGAAAAGCTTATAAATATATTCCACAAGGGTTTTAGCATCCAAATGGAAAATGTAGATCCAGTATGTGGCTTTCATAATGTGCAACTGCCAGTTTGATTGAAAGAAAATTGTTGTATTTGTGATTGTTGAAAAGTTTCTGCCCAAGCCTGGGTAGTTTTGGACACAATTTGAGTTTCTGACCAAATACACCCCAAAATCATTTTTCTATGTAACATCTTCAAAACTCAAGGTAAAGATATGTAAAAATATGAAAAATTATGGGAAATCAAAGACTGATTCAACCATATATTCTTTGAATTTTTCCTACCTCTCATGCATTGCTGAGTATTTTCTACATCTTGACTTTTCTAAACTCCCTGGTATATTATTGATTTGGTGTAGTGTGGGAAAGGCCCCACAGTTGCGGTAAATTTAACCTTACCGCACCTGACTTACCGCACAAGTGCGAATGCTCTAAACAGCTTAAAGTTGAATGACACAATATGATAACTTACACATTGTTTGTCACTGCAACGTCACGATGACTGCCTAACCTAATTCCCATTTTTGTAATCGTTGCCATAATCCATTCATCCTTTCTGTTCCTCTTTGAATGGAAAAGTAAACCTCATCTTGTACGTCACGAGTGGTCGGTCAGGCTAAGATGACAGAGCAAGCTGTTCCCTTACCCAACCCATTGATTGTCAAAGGTTTTCATCTACTACCAACCTTCTATCTCGCTAGCCTGCACACAGAAAAACAATTGCTGAATTTCACCAAACGGTTGGTTTCCCTTTCATCCGCCTGAGCAGGTCGCTTTTGTAATTGTCTTGAAAGAAATCTTCTTGATGCTTTGTTTGTGAATAGACAGCTTCTAGAATCTTACTTTTGTCCATGGACATTGTTTGATCTTTGTAGAAGTGGTACAGCTCTGTACCTCAGTGTAGCAGCTGTATATCTTCTGAAGGAATCCGGTTGGAAAAAACCGGCGTCAAACAAGCCTTGAAGTCGGCGTGGTTTATCAATTGCCTTCCTTTTTGGCCATTGACAATCTGCTTTTCTTTGT